TATTAGTAGGGCAGTACCTTAAATCTTGGGGAACAAACATGCTAAAGAAAAAACTAAAAAGCAAAATGTAAAAAATTAGTTAAAACTTGAGTTGTTCCAAGGGGCAATATTGAAAAAAAGTGAGTTGATTGACCTTCTCTATAATTTCTTCATATAAATAGAGCATTTCATATTTGACTTAAAATTTTAGGTTTTGTATGTAATTATCACTCTACTAATAACTTTGCGAGTGGCACGCTTTTATGCTCTTAGAAAAAATGATCTCTTGGATGAATAGAAACATTTTTTTTGATAGTGAGATCTAAGTGTTAGAAAGCTAAAAATTCAAAAAAAAAAATTCTTTTAAAAATAACCATACTATAGTTCTTAGGTGGTTCCCAAAATTTCGAAGTAGAGAGAAAAAAATTCTTCCCAAATAGGCCATCTTGCCCAAATAGAGTGGGTATGGGATATTGTGGTTTTCCATAGTACTTGTGAGGAAAATTTGCTTATATTTTTCTCACTGTTTTGTTCTCTCCATTGTCTGATATAGTTACTATGTAAAAATTGCCTATTCTATTTATGGATACCTCTCAAATGAATTTTGTAGGTATTCTATTTTCAATATTTTCAGCATCGCACCTATATCTCAGTTTTTTTTTTTGGTTTTTCCTGAAGAATTACAAATACTCTATTATTTCAACTTTGGATGCATCCTACTCTTAATATTTTTTTGTATTATATCTTAAACTCAGACACTTTTTTTTTTTTTACCTCCAGCCAAATAGTCAAAAGCATTTTGATACCAAAATACCAATTTTTTTTTCTTTGCCCTTTTTCTTTTTCTTTCTTATTTTATTTTTGGTTGTCTTTATAGACACATGAGCCTTATTTTTTTTCTCTACCTCCCTCCGTCCATATCTCTCTCTCTCGACCCACTTTCACTTTCTCCTGCGTTCTTTACCCTCCCTCGTTATTTCTCTCTCTAGAATTCACTTGTCCGTAATGTGGTCCGACACCATCACTCTTTTTTAGAGAGAAAAAAAATGAATGAGGGTATAGAGAAAAAAAAAATTATATTTTAATCTTAAAACTATTTGATTGGGGATAAATACAAAAAAAAAAATAATGATGTAATTTAGGGTATAATACATAAAGTAGTGAGATTGAATGGGTAGAAAGTTGAAAAAAAAATTTCATTGTTTTTAAAGACTATCTGACCCTTTCCCTTTTTTTACCATACCCGTTAAACGTCTCTCTCTCTACCTTTTCTGCGAACAAAAAAAAAAAAGAGGGTGGGCAGAGAGATTTAATGGCCAGACAAAGTGGAATTTAGTCTTTAAAACAAATTTTTTTTTTTTTATCTATGGGGGGATAAAAATGGCCAGAGAAAGTGGAGTTTAGTCTTGAAAAGAATGTTTTTTTAATTTATTTATTATTATTTAATTTATTTATTATTATTATATCGGGGATAAAAATAGCAATTTAATAACAGGTGGGCTATTAAAAATATTAGGGGGTAGAATTCGGGGGATATTCATAATTTACTCTTCTATTAATATTCAACATAGTAGCATAATATAGAAATTTCAGTATTCAAGGAAGAAGAACAAGTAAATTAACCATTATCTTTTTCTATAACAGAAGGGAAGACTAGAAGCACAATAACGCTAAAAAAAGAGGTGATAGCAAAATAAATAAAAATCTCTGGTTTAATGAAGAGTAACAATTAACAAGGAAATTTAAAGAATTATGTGCGTCTCTGAGTGAGGACCAAGATCAGTGTCAATGTATTGCATTGAGTTGAAACTTTGATGAACATGCGCAGGCGGGAGGCCCTGAATACCCCATTCCCCTCGGCCGACGTGACAGCCTCAACTTTGCGACTCAAGAAGCAACTTTGGCGAACCTCCCAGGCCCCACGTCCACCACCTCCGTCCTCCTGGAGGCCTATGCCAACAAAAGCCTGGATGCCACCGACCTCGTCGCCCTCTCAGGCGGCCACACCATCGGCATTTCACACTGCCCCTCCTTTGACAACCGCCTCTTCCCCTCCCAAGACCCCACCCTCGACAAAACCTTTGCAAAAAACCTCTACAAAATTTGCCCCATTTCCGATACCAATGCTACCACTGTGCTCGACATTCGAACCCCAAACGTGTTTGATAACAAATACTATGTTGACCTCATGAATCGACAAGGTCTGTTCACTTCGGATCAAGATTTGTACACTGACAAGAGGACGAGATCGATCGTCACGAGCTTTGCGGTGGACCAATCACTGTTTTTCGAGAAGTTCGTGTTGGGGATGATCAAGATGGGGCAGATGAGTGTGCTTACTGGGAGACGGGGGGAGATTAGGGCTAATTGCTCTGCTAGGAACCCTTCCAGGTTTTTGGTACCCCTTGGTGGGGAGGGAGAGGAGGGTGTTGCTGCCTCCTTTTAGATTGTGTAGAAGGCCCTTTGCCCTTTGCTTCTCCTGTTTTTCCTTTTGGTATGGTTCGGGTTGCCATTTGCTTCTCCTGTTTTTCCTTTTGGTATGGTTCGGGTTGCCCTTTGCTTCTCCTGTTTTTCCTTTTGGTATGGTTCGGGTTGCCATTTGCTTCTCCTGTTTTTCCTTTTGGTATGGTTCGGGTTGCCCTTTGCTTCTCCTGTTTTTCCTTTTTGGTATGGTTCGAGTCGGTTCGGTTCGGTTATGTGGGTTTCAGGGCAGAAGAAATAACGATGGGTTTTTTGTTTTTGTGTTGTTTACATGTAACTTGTTTTGTGATAACACTTTCGAATAAAGGCAAGCTTTCTATGCTCGCTCTACGGCATAAAACTTATATACTGCCTTTTATCCCACCTTCCATTTTGAATAGAGGGTTAAGATTGCCTCTTCAATGTCACGTCTCTGTATTATTTTATTTTTAATTTTTTTTAAAAAATTATTTTTACACCAAATTTTGAAATTTTTGACAATCAATTTTTCATTAAATTCTTACTAGTGAAAAATATTAAAAAAATATTTTAAAATTAGTACTACCAAAAAATATTAAAAAAATATTTTCAATTATATAAAAAGATCAAAATACCTTTCAAGGATTTTTTGATTATAGATTATTAAAAAAAACAATTAATATTTTTATAAGCGTATCTTAATGAGAATATGGTACGTATCAAATTTTATATTTATACAATATGTACAAAAAAAATTAAAAAAAAATATTTTGAGGCGGCAGATCTGAAGTTAGACAGTGAGTGGTTCTTTTGATCAAAATTGGACAGCTGTAAAAGTATGCGATAAGTGGCTTTTTTGATCAAAATTGGACAACAAAATGGTAGGGAAAATATAAAAACCTTTCTCAAGGAATAATGTATTTCTGGTTTCCTTTTATTTGGAGCCATTTTTCTAGTGGATGTAATACATCCATGTTCCCTTTTGCCGTGTTGTCAATCCATCGTCTGTTATTTCAACCTGATGGTGGAGATGATCTGTGTCCTGGATGGATGATGTACATGCTGGACTTGAGGTGCCAACCTTCTCCAATGTTGGATCTGTTTATCAGAGGTATAGGGCAGTGAACTATGGGTTAGGGTTTCTATGAGGTGCCTATCTTATACTATGAAAGTAAGGGGTGCTTTTAAATTTTGCCGAGACAGCGTAATTCTTCTGTCATGCCTTGAAAACATATTCATCATAATTATGAAATTAAAAATTTTCAACTTAGTGTAGATCAAACACTATAAATAGTTGAAAATCTTGATAATAACAAGTTCAAATAAGTTGATATAGTATGCATTATTTTTTTAATTTGAAATTTGTTATTTGTTATTTTTTTGACTTATGGGTGTGGGAGTTAATTTTTTTAATATCTATGGTAAATTTAATGGTGATCTTTAGGGTTCTATACACATGGGTACGAGAGGATCTCATCGTTATTTTTTTCTTTTTTTTGTCTATAATTTCAATTAAAAAGTTTTGCAATTTTGGAAATCTCTTTTACCATGGATTTTTGAGGTGCATAGTATAAAGTTGCAATCTTATATAAACTATTTTTTGTACACTACTATTAACATACTATACAATAGCGCATGTATGGTAAAAATTTCCTTGTACTTTTGTTTGGTGAATGCAGCACAAGGATTTCTCCTTGAGGCGTACAACATTTTCCAGTACTTACAAAAATAAAAAAACGAAACTTTAGGATAAACAGATTTGGTTTTGTGGTCCCAATATAGTCCGTCATGGGCATTCCCATTCATCCATTCTTTACGTGTGGTTTGGCAATGCGCTTAAAACCCCGATTGGCACGATAAATAAAGGGAAAATTACCCAAAAAAAAAGAAAACCAAAACTATACTTTTTATGTAACTTACCTTCAAACTTAACATTTTTTCTCACTTTTTTTTCGAAAATATACTTCTTATACAAAAACCTCTTAATAAAAAAAAAAAAGCCTAAACTACCTTCTCTTACTTTTATCTTACCCTGTGTAAATTGTGCTTCGGCAGTAGGGCTCCAATACTGTATAAAGTGTGGTGCAGCAATTGAAAAGAGCGGTCCAGCCGTTACAAAGGGCGGTCCCTCAGTTGCAAAGGGACAGTTGTTCGTAAAGATCCGACATTTACAAAGGACGATCCGACATTTACAAAGGCCGATCCGATAGTTGCAAAGGGTGGTCCGGCAGTTGAAATGGGCGGTCCGACAATTTGATAGTGCGCTCCAATAATGTGCTACTCGGATCCAAAATCAACGTCAAATCTGCCTAAAATGATTTTTTGTAAAAAAAAAATTTATTTTTTTCCTTGGCAGGTATTTGGATAGAAACCTTGTTTTTGGGGAAAAAAGTGAGAGAAGAAATGGTTGGGGTAAGTTGATTAGAAAATATGGTCTAGAAGGTTTTTTGTAATTTTTTCTAAAATAAAAATTGAAAGGGAACTTGGTGGTTCCACGCATTGGAATCACTGAGTCTGCCCATCCACCCCCAATGCCATTTTGATTAAGATCACTGATTCCCATCTAAATAGAAAATTTTATATTTTAAAAAAAAAACTTATATAAGATTGCAACCTTATATTGTAAAAGTAAAATGTACCTCAAAAATTTTATGGAGGATAGTGTTTCGTTTTGGGGACCCCAATTAATCACATCAACCTTGAGATGTGTATATGTATATAGTTTAAAAAAACAGTGCATCTTGTAATAGATATGGATTCAACCTCGAGATGTGTATATGTATATAGTTTAAAAAAACAGTGCATCTTGTAATAGATATGGATTGTCTATTTTCAAGTGTTTCTTGATCTGCTCAATCTCTATCATTTTTTGAAATTTTCAATTTTTATAACTGAGGATGAGAAGAGATTTTCAAACCATCATAAAGTTGTTGACACCAAAACGGCCGCTCTAGAAAATTTTTATAGATGCACCTCAGTTCTACAGTATAAAGAGACAACCTTACACAAACCTCACCCTTTACACTTTCAAGAGTGGTTTGAAGTAAAACCTCACCCTTTATACTTTCAACTTTGGTTTGAAGTATAATACATACGAGATGGTATACCACGCTTCCCTAAATAATTGAAGAACTTTGTATTCCTCCTGTTAAATAGAAAATCTTCACAAAGAGCATATGTTCACACAAGGAAGCTATATTTTATCTATGGTATATGTTTCTTTCGTGTAGGTTAAATGCATTCAAACCTCAGACCATTTAAAGGCAATACAAACCCTGGACTACTTTGCTTGGATTCAAGCCTTAGATTGTGTCGTGGCAACTTACCACCTACCACCAAATTAATGAGCCAATAGTCATACCAAGCAAAAGAAACCAACGATATATCTTATGGACACTGTTTCTATGAGTCTCCGGAGTATGTAGAAATGTACGGCCCTTAATTTTATTTTTTAAATGAATTTTGATCATGATTTTTAAGGAATATATAGTCTCCTAACATGGAGATTATTAATATGTGAAAATAATAGGGAAAATATCTCATTATCTTCTATTTTTAACTTCTATATCTCATGAGACCCAAAAATTGAAAATATTACTTGTAAGCAAAATGTCTTTATCTTTTTTATCATACAACCCCCTGGACCACTTTGACCATATACTTTTTACCCAAACAAACACTAAAATAACACCCTATCTAAAAAACTATATCTCTCTCCTTCTAAAACTTGAGAACGGCTTGGTCCTCTGCCCCCACCATTAGAGCCTCTTATAGCCCTAACAATTCATGGAAACCCTTTCAATTTGTTGCAAATCTGAAATAGGGTATGGGTCCGGCCATTAGAGCCTCTTCTGCAATCTCTCTCCGTGTATGGTGGCTTTAGATTTTCAATATGTAGGGTGAAGATAAAACTAGATTTTTAAATATGGAATAGGGTATGGACTCGGGCCATTAGAGCCTCTTCTGCAATCTCTCTCTGTGTATAGTGGCTTCAAATTTTCAATATATACGGTTTGTTACGAGAAGGTCAACTATAAGATCAGCTCTCTCCATATTTATTGATGGAATGTGGATTGCAGAGACATCAACAGTGGGTTTTTCGAAACCGGCTGCTTCTTCAATCTTCTCTCTATTGTCATTGATGAAATCCTTCACTTTTTCAAGGAAACCTCCTTCTCTTCTTCTGTTTCGATCTTTTCCACTGGCTTATCAGATGAAGCCATGGCTTCATAGAAGGGAAAAAATGGAAAATGAGAGATAGAATCAACAAATAAAAAGAAAGATATAGAATTCAATAGAAACAATTTAACCAACAAATATTGAATCACTCATTTGGTTGGAAATTTAATATAATATAAGAAGTTGATTACAAAGTGGGAAAACAATCGAAAGATCTACGGAAACTTTAAAACTTGCGCTGTTTGTTTCTAATGCTTCTACGACTACGGGTTTGTTTATCTTTCTATCATTTCTCTATCTAAAAGCAATTTAGAAGGTGCATATTTAAACATTAAACTAAATTTAAAAAAAATAAAAAACTAAATGAAAGAATTAAAGATAGAGAAGCTTAGTGGATTAGCTCGAAATGCTCAAAACAATGTATTACACAAATCATATTTCTTCTCTCTAAAAAATTGGTCCAAAAAGTGATTAGAATGATAAGGAGTACCTTAAGACATAAAAAGTTTGATGGATTGATTCGTTTCTTCTACAGGTATGATCTTCTATAACCTACCCTCTCCCTAACTTGACTGTTCCTTTCGTTTATAATTTATCTTTTTCTCTCTCTAACTTGATGAATTTGTTTGTTTCTTCGTTTATCATTAAAAAATGGTAATATTGCATAATTTTATCCTAATTTGAGGCAGTTTATTTAGTTTTCCGTCGAGCGGGTTGCCAGAAAAGGACGTGGAATTTGTGAAGGGATGTGCTTTGTTATGAGGAGCGAGGTGGAAGGGTTGAAGAGAGAGAATGGGGCAACGAGAGAGAGAGAGAGAGAGAGAGAGAGAGAGAGAGAGAGAGAGAGAGTAGGTAGTTAGAGAAGTAAGAGTAGTAGGTAGTTAGTAGTGTA